TCTGCCATATTGCTAGATCATCAGTTAGTTGTCGGGGAGGGGGAGAAGATGATGTTGCGTGCTGATTTAGGAGAGTGTAATAGTGTGTGAAAGGACAGAGTGGTATGATAGTACTTTCCGGGGAGTTCAAGAGAATTTCCCATGAATAGTGTCAACATTAGTCCGAGTAGTGAGAGGGAGAGAATATTGACCAGTGAGAAATTTATTATTACGGAAGAGGCATGCACGCTCGAGAAAATAGATGTGTGGGTTCACTGTGATGGCGGACAAGCATGGCAAACGAGACGCACAGAGAAAGTACGAATTACGTGACAGCGTGATTCTCATGTAACAGCAGCCACCCACATAAGCGTGATTCTCGAGAACACCCAAATGAGCGTGTGTTCCGAGAACGCCCACGTGAGCATGTGTCCCGAGAACGCCCACGTGAGCATGTGTCCCGAGAACGCCCACATGAGCGCGCCTCTCGTGTAACATCAGCCGCGCACATGGGTTCAGTAGGGATATATTAGGGCTGCGTAGACAGTCCGAGTCAGTGAGCTGCAGCCAGAGAGCTAAAGCACTGGGGAAGTGCGGGTGTAGTACACATTCAGCGCGAGAGTGCTGTACGTCAGAGAGAGAGAGAGAGAGAGAGAGAGAGAGAGAGAGAGAGAGAGAGAGAGAGAGAGAGAGAGAGAGAGAGAGAGAGAGAGAGAGACCAAGTCAGAGGCAGTATCTCTCGAGTGAGACAGAGTATCGAGAAACCGTCAGATAGCAAGGTCTGTGTAAGGGTTTCGGTCAAGGTACTGGTCGAAGGTATCGTCCCGCTGGCGAAGTAATGCCAAGGGGACTGGACGCTCCAATATTGACTGTTTTGGGTGACGACGCAAGGAGACGGAGGATCATAATGGAAACAGAACAGTAGGGATGCCGACGAGAGCTGTGTGCTAGAGGGGACTTGTGTTAGAAGTCATATCGGTCATCGGAGTCCTTCGAAAGGCTGATGTGCTGTGGGCACATGCTGGAGAACGAGCATGTGAAGTCCGTCTCCAGTCAGCCGTTGTTGTATGCTGAAGTAATATCAAGGTCCAGTTGATAGGAGAGTTCGTCCTGTTCTGTTGTACGGCGAGCTCAAAGTTGTGGGAAGCTGTAGACCTTCAGAGCTGTAGTGGTTAGGGAGAGGTCGCTACAATTTAAGAGAGAGCGAGCGAGAGAGAGAGAGAGAGAGAGAGAGAGAGAGAGAGAGAGAGAGAGAGAGAGAGAGAGCTATATGGACTAAGTGCAAATGCCAATTAGGATGAGTGTCTACGTCTTTGAATAAGCCGTTTTGTCGATGTGAGTGCCTGTGTATACCCTCTTGTGTTCTGTCGAATAAACCTATTGTATGACGCAGCTGACTGTGTTGTGTCGTAACTCAGTGTGTCGAGTGAATATCCGTACTTGTGGACACTTGGTCGTGTGCTGATTATTGTGTAACTCAGAGAGCTCACAACAATAATGAAAGTTTGATCTAATAGTGAACTGAATCGTCTGCGATTTTTCTTTTAATTACTTTCTTGTTTAATTTAATTATCTTGTTTCTAAGAACTGATATCGTAGCAGTCTGGATAGTCCCATTTATTCTTGGTTATAAGTTGGATGAATATAGTCTATACATAGCTCCTTTGTGCGGCAGCTCTGTAGCATACTTACCTTCTACCGTGTGGTGGTCGTCGTGTGGTGTAATCCTAGTGTGCCATTTGTCTTAGAAACTGTGAATGCCTAGAATTGGACAATGGCTAATGGGTAGAATATTTTGATTTTATACATAGGGTGCCAGTGTAACTAACAACGATCGTTTGAAAGAAGCAAATAAAAGTAGATCTCTATATACAACAAGAAGAAAGAGACAAACACTGTTCTTTGGCCACATAATGAGAAGAGACATTGGAGAACATCGTGTCAACTGGAAAGATCAGTGGGAAAAGGGGTAGAGGCAGACCAAGAGAGATAGTGCTGTATGGGCTGAAACGATGGCATGGAGGGATATCATCAACAGAGCTGTTCCAGGCAACCATAGATCGTGATCTGTGCAGACGCCAGAGCACCTACGCCAGTTGGCAGGGCACATGATGAGGATGACATAGTGTGACCATATGACCTGTTTTCACTAGGACAGTCCCGTTTTCAGGTTGCCCCAGCCGTCCCGCACACACACACACACACACACACACACACACGCACAAATAGCAGCAATTGTCCCGTTTTCAGGTTGCCCCAGCCGTCCCGCACACACACACACACAAACACACACACACACAAACACACACGCACAAATAGCAGCAATTGTCCCGTTTTCAGGTTGCCCCGGCCGTCCCGCACACACACACACACACACACACACACACACGCACAAATAGCAGCAATTGTCCCGTTTTATAAAAAAAAAAAAAATCTAAAAATAAATTCAATTATAGAACACTTATAGACTATTGGGTTTGATAGTCTTAGATACTTTTAATACCATAGGTGTATTGATGGCCATTTAGGAAAGAATATTTACGTATACACTATACTAATGGAACCAATAAAAACAAGGCTTGAAAAACTCTCAGAATACCACTGAAAAAGAAGAGAAAAAAAATAGACATTTTAAAACATCTGAACAGCCAGGAAGATTGGCTTATAAACAGCATCTTGCCTCGAAAGCCGAATTATTTTGGTCATATCAAGCGCCATGGCGGAACTGAAAAAATAATAACAGAAGGCATGGTACCAGGAAGGAGGGGCAGGGGCTGACCAACATGAAGATGAGCACAGGATATAAGTGACTCCTTAAATATGAAAGTGCAGAGGTGGGAAAGCTTGCAAGAGACCGGCAGACTGTGATGACAACGACGTTCTGCAAAGGACCTGCTACACGATGAGGATGTTTTATACAATTTATGGGCAAATGTGTTCTCACGTTCTTAAAATATATTAGTTCCTCAATGATTAACAATAATAATAATGTCTATAATTATTTGTGAGGGAGGAGGGGGGAGCAGATAGTAAACCTACTTGCTTAGTATGTCCTATTTTGAGCCCATATATTAGTGGCATTTTCCGTTTTTGAGATATTAGGGTCACCCTGTCTTATTCCATCTTCGAGGTAAAAATACGTTTTTCCCACAAAACTTTTTTAGGGAAGTGAAGGTGACCGAAGTGTTACTAACCATGTCATCTCAGTAAACAATAATTGATTAATCGCATTTAATAATTACTCATCATTTGGTATAAATGGGTCCTTAAATTATCTCAAAGTTGAAAAAAAAAGTATCTACGTATGTCTTTCTGGTAATCCTGATGCTCAATGTCGTGTACCCGACCTTCTTGACAGAGATGTATTGTACTTTTTTTTTTTACAATTGTGGGTGTCATATTGTATGATTGATTATCCAGCATATTAGCAACCATGAGCCTCTTTTAACTACAGTGAAAAGGCGGGAAGTGCAATGGTACGGACATGTAATCAGATCTAACAGCCTCTCAAAAACAACCCTACAGGGCGCAGTAGAGGGGAAGAGAAGAAGAGGCAGACCAAGAAAGATATGGATACAGAACTGGACTGATTGGCCAGGCTTTGGGCATGCTACCATGAAGTCCATTGCATGTGACCGCCAAAAGTAGAGAGGGCTGATCAGAAAGAAACAGCAGCTGGTGACCCAATGAGGCTCAGTGTTAGGGGATGATGATGCGGCTGTCATATTCTTGAAATCTCTGTTTGTGTGTTCAAAACTCTACCATGACATCAAATAATAAATACTGTACATTACGTTGAATAAATGAATCAAAACTTACAAAACTACACTCGGGACATTCCTATCCGTGCTCCGTCTTCTTCATCAGTAGCCAACAAATAGTTCACACGCTAAAAAGTACCTCTATTCACCCCCCCCCCCCCCAAACACACCCGGCACTCCCTCCTCCTCTAGCCAATTGCCCCATAGAAATAATCATTCATTGCATGGATTCTCTGCCAATATGAGTAAATCATGAACCACTGATAATGCACACATGAAGACAAGAGGCGGGTAAGCTGGTGAAACGGGTTAAAAAATAACGTGATATTTCCTTGCATATGACTGCAGGTTACCTCAGGCCGGTGTAGCCATTTACGGGTCCTTTAATTATAATGTACTAGGTCGTTGGATAGGGATACCTGGGCGTGTCCTGTTGATCTGCCATCAGCACTGAGATTGTATAGTATCACTGTGTCAACCCTTCAGATCTTGTTGGTCTGCCATCCAGACTGAGATCTTATGATTTCAGGGTGCTAAACTATTAATGTAGCTTCCCGGTGGGGATAAATGATACACAAGCACAGACAGTTTTTCAAAAGTATAAGTCGAGGTAGGCGCAAAAGAACTAATCTCCACCTCCACATACAATGTACTAAAGCACCTGGGCTTGTCAGAAAAGGAACGGAAACGGGTACTAAAACAACTTGGTGAAGCTTCTGAAAGAGTTTTGAGCTGGCTGTGGAAACAACGGACAGCCGTGGGGGATGGGCCTCTGCAGATTGGTCCAAGCCCCTAGTGGAAAAGAACTTTTAAAATCCCTAAAGCCAAAGTTGCCCAATTAATGTCTGTCCGTTTCACTGTGCCATTTACTTATGTCTAACGTTTGTATAATAAACTGTAAACATGTCACTCTTGTGGTGAAGGTAGGCGCTTAATTTGTTATCGTAGCGACAAAACTATAACATCAAAACGCAATACCCAGTTGCAAAGCCACCATTTTGTCTTGTCCAAATGTCCGATAAGCGCAGCAGGAGATGTCCGACGCTTGTGAGTCAAGATCAAGGCCGGCCCACCCTATGAGATTGTCAAGGAGGATAATGGACCGAAATAATTGTCGACGAGGAACCCACTTAGTGATGATTGGTAAACTCCTACTGTGCGTGATCCCGCCGTAAAGTTCTTATTATTAAATACAACAATAATTAATAACAATGTTGCATTTGTTTGTCTCTATTTCCAGACTGCCGTCAGATAGAATAAATGTGTCCTCAAACGGAACTTTCTGTTTACGAGAGGCAGCCCTCCCTGTCTCAAGTCAGATGCCCGCATACCATGATTCATGCAGTGCGATCCGTATTCTTACAAGGTGACCATAACCCTGGACTGGACTGTATGAATCTTCCAAGTATAGATGTAACAGAACGATACAATACAATATCTATTGAACATGCTTTCTCACATATGAAGATCGACGGTGAACGTCTTTCGTGTCATCAGGATTCAGATAAGGACACAAGTCATTGCGACGGCAGCTGCATGTCACCTGATGATGTCAGCAGCGAGACTGTATGTGAAACTGGGTGTATGAGGGAAGACATTTCTTTAAGAAATGATTCACACTTTGACGACATTTTGCGAGATTCTGAAACTTGTGGGGGTAAACTCACGCACATCATTGAAAGTCTTTTTGAAGGGGACCAGGATGGAGACAACAGTCTTCATCTTAGCATAATTAACGGCTACAAGTCTTATTCACGTCTGCTCATAAACCTCGCTCCAGATTTTGATTGTTTGAATCTTAGTAACAATCTGAGACAGACGCCATTGCACCTTGCAGTACTCACCCGGCAGCCAGATATAGTGCGACGTCTGGTGTGTGCAGGAGCGGCAGTCTTAGCTCAAGACCAGCAAGGAAACACGCCGCTGCACCTTGCCTGTGGGCTGGGTGATAAGCAGTCTGTGAAACATCTATTAACGCCAGTTTTTTACGAAGAGACTCTAGAAAACAAATACAGCATTCCATACCAGCGAATTCCCCAAGATCTGAGAATTCGAAACTACGAGGGACAAACATGCCTTCACATTGCAGTTAGCGCCAGAAACTTTAAGGTTGTTCAAATGCTAATAGACACAGGGGCAGATATTAATGTAGGTGACGGTAGAAGTGGCCGAAGTGTGCTACACCTCGCCGCCGACACTGGAGACACGGAAATGGTTGAAATGCTTTTGTCTACAAGGGGTATCCAGATAAACACAAGGGACTTTGCAGGTTTCACACCAGCACAACTTGCTTATGGTCGGAGTCACACAGAAACAGCAAGACTGCTCTACAGCATTACAGGTCACTATGACGGGACACATGTTGATGATGCTATGCTAGAAGACAATGCACAGCTCTAGTTCTCATTACTTAATAATACCCTAAATGCCCTGAACAATAAATACTCCACGAACATTTATCAAAATCTGAAAACTAATGACGGTTAATACACAAGACTGGGATATGTTTATTATGAGTACAAGTCACTTGCCTGCAGGTCCAATGCTCATAAGTTCGAATCTTTTCCGAGCATATTTTAAAAATTACTATGGGCGCCTGGATCGATCCTACCAAAAACGGGTATCAAGAAATGTTCAGGGAAGTAAAGGCCGCCTGTGTAATATCGTTCAAATCAGCCACCCATCGATGTCGATGAAGTAAAGTAAGTTCAGACCGTTTTCCATACCCTTAGGTGTATTGGATATGAATAAAGCTAGGTGAATTGGTAATAAAGTGCTATACTTTATTTTATATATCAACTGGTGGTGGATATAGTCAACTTTACACCGGTCGCCTCTACTTCCTATGACCTTACCTGGTACCCATTTAATCTGGGTTAATCTGCGATTTGTTTTATTCATGAACGTCAATCAGTAGGTTCTGTACAGGACGTGGCTCTCGACTTGTGCGACTGAAAGTCTCTCTCTCTCTCTTATTCTAGCTCTTCAGGGACAGAGCATTTTCGGTATCCTCTATTCACGTTCACGAAAGTCAGCCTCTGTCACTTTTTCCAAAAACGGTGACGCCCCCTAAATAATAATATAAAGAGCAGTTTCTGTGTTTATGTCACCAGTATGTGCCACGAAGACAAGAGTATACTGTCATGTTTCGGCGTCTGAGGTGATCACCAGAATCAGGTCATTGTTCTCGTCTCGTCTAATTCATTTTGTCAAGTCTTCCACGTATTCCCGTTAATTGACTAAATGACATTTCCACTGCCTTGGCTATTATTTAACCCCATTTTCTAAAGCATTCTCATTGGTTCTTTCTGAATTTCATTTCCTCCAACTTTCTCACTGAAGCCAAGATAGTGACTCACTCTGTATAAAAAAGAATGGCTGCAATATGTTAATTATGATTTTTTTTTTTTTTATAATTTTAAATTCTGTGATATGTATGAATAGTTTTAATTTATATACACATGCATAACTGGTTATGATCACTGGTTTTTTTTTTTTTTTTTGGAGACAATAGGCATACTTTTAAAATGTGTTTTTAATAAAAATCAAATAAAAATAATGTGATTTCAAATACAGATGGCTCCATTTATTCTTGTCACTGAAAAAAGGCGCCAAGGGTGCGTGTGGTTTGATATTTTGGATTGTCAGACAGAACTGTGATGTGGTAGTAGCTCCATGTGTGTTCAGACCAGTTCCTTGATTTATGGGTCATGTGATCAATAACATGTCATTCAAACTTAGATCCAAGAATATTTATTGATGCCTATTTTAGGTTCGGCTGACTTTGGAGAAGTTGCAGCACACTACATTGTCATTTAGAAAGCTTGTGTTTGTGTAACGTTCCAGCTCGATCAGGAAATAGGGTGAGAAACGTAATACAAAATTTTTCCTAGACATGAGAAAGTGAAGTCAATAAAAGTTAATCTCAGCGTAATGCATGAACTCCGTAACACCGGCGAGAACCCTGAAATACCATGGGTAGATTTTTAACTGCAAATTTTACCTGAGCAGCGCCGTTAAGCTACTATTTTAAATTTCCAAATGCCAAGAGATTTTTTTTTACGTGTGCAACAATGAACATGGGCGTCCAATCTTACCACCCAGAAGAAATTACTAGAAGTCCATGTGGAAACATCCCAGCCTTCACCAGGACCTCCAGCACTCGTGGTGGATGCTATACCTCGAGACCATTCAGCCCCCAAAATGATGCGGCACAGAGATAAAGACAAGAATCACCTGGTTCAAAAACTGACCTAAAGGAGTAATGCCAACACGCACAAAATCTGCTGATTGGGATGTTTTGTGTGGTCTAATCTGTGTGAATATGAATGCAGCACAAATAGTAACAAAATTAGGAACTAGGAAAACAGGAACCTAATGGTTAATACAAATTCCCCATGTCTATCAAGTTGATTTCTCAGCACTCTTATTTACAGTACTGAAACTTATTTGACTTATTAGTTCCAGAAGAAACGGCTAAAAAGCTTTCATATGTGATATCTATGAAGAATATTTGGCAACAAGTGGCAAGACAAGACAACAAATATTGAGGTACTAGACGGGTGCAAACAGGATGAAAAGACTAAGGCATGTTTTTTCCCCTAAGACAACTAAGAATGCTGAACACTGGTTCCAAACAACAGTATAACACTGTCCTACAGAGTCATGGGAATCAAAAACCCATCATGGGTGAGATGAGACTTACAAGTTCAGATCCCAATAAGAATATACAAAAAGTGTTTGGGATTCCACTATTACTAATGCCATCAGTTTTTTTTGGTCTTATTCCCCTCCAAGCAACAAAATTCAAGGCATTCTGTTCCCATGAATTCACATTAACATCTGTATCATTTATGTCCCTCTTGCTAACGTCTTTTATATCACAGTAGAAGACATCTCTGAGATCTTTCAATCTGTGGCTACAGATTATGTTTTCAATGACCACTATACCCAGAGTGTGTACTATTCATACCTACGAAATTAAATGAAACACTTTATCAACAACCCACTTCCTGTCCACACACAAATGTCTTACGAGTCGACTAATTTGGGACTTCTTTCAAAGCCGGGGTGCATCTGCCTAAGAAGTAAGAAACCAACAGTTTGCATAGATATAAGCTGGATCTGAAAAACAGATGTGCACCCAACACTCCAGTTCTTGAACAAGACTAAAGTCTAGAGATGAACAAACAATGACAACTTCCCGCCAGAGTTTACAGCTAGTGAACATGAGGAAGAAATAACAGCACAACTTGCAACATACAATATGACCACTTCATAAAAAGAACTGATAAAATTTAAAAATAAATAAATAACAAAATAAAAATTGACACATGGTTTTGTTTATTAAGAATCAGCCACTGATAAAATGAACTGTATTTCAGCATATATTTACACAAATGTAGGTTTCACACCTTTAAGCCTAGTACTGACAAACTGTAAAGTTTCAAACAAGCTTGGGGTAAAAACAGATAGTAATTCCACATCAAAATTGCAGCAGGCATGCCATCTGATTGGACTTCAATCTCTTATGCCCAGCATTATGAGGTGGATGAGCAGTTCCATTTCTCTGTGCCTGCCCCTTCCCAGCAACATCTCTTACATCTATTTTTTTAAAAGGCTCAAAGCCTTATCATTTAAAAGACATGCATGCATTTCTGGGGATGGGGGGGGGGGGGTTTGAATTCAGACCTGCTGGTGTTCTTTTTTAGCAGGAACATAGCTAATGTACCATGAAAACAAATCAAGATTAATATGTTCTATGTTCTAAAAGAGCTGTAGATTAATAATTTTATACAACCCTTCAAAGTGTTAATTATGGAAATTTGTCAAAATTGTTGTATGAGTGTAAATATTTTGCAATAAATCCCCTCCAAAATTATCACTGTATGACTTCTTTGTAATAGGTGGGAAACCCGAAATATAAAGGTTAGAGAATATATAGAACTTTCACCAAAGGTATGCACAATATTTAAAATGCCTTAAAGCCGTATTGTTTAGAGGACGGAAAAGAGAATAATGAGCATCTGTCTTACAGAAACTTGTATTTGTGCAAACATTTTAGGCCATCACATATACTAGGTATATGCTAACTTGAATCACATGATGATATGAGTTAACCAGCCTCAATACTGTTTTCCATTCCTTGAAAACATTAGAAAAATCTCTGGTATACATTTCAAGAGACAGCCAATTCTAGATACATAACCCAAGTCTGTCAACACTGAGGACAGAATTTTCATGATCCTCAAGTTTGTTAGTTGCATATCATTTACAGGACGTTGCAGAACCAATCCCAGCATCTTTTTTTTTTTGTGGCTAGGGTAATTTTACATTCAGTAGTTTGTCACTGCAACTGAACGGTCAGCTCTCTGTACCAATGTAAGACGAATCATTCGCAGCTGGGATCAAACGGAGCACCCCAGTATTTCAAAGTGCATATGCAACGCCTAACCCACAGTCGCCGACCCTTCAGTACTACCATTCATAATCTGTGGCAATTTCTTTTTTAACCATCCAAATGGTTTTCAGTCTGTGGTACAAGACTTGTTTTTGAGAGTCATAATGTGGAAGAGACAGGAACCTAATCTCATAATATTCTTAGACAGCAGTGCTACACTGAATTGTAGCCAACCTTCCCTGTGTAGACAGCAAAGAATCAAAGAACAAAAGATTCTTTAGTCTGACAGGGCCATCACATTATTTCTGCAATTCCTTGGTACCATTCTTGTTTACAATAACTGTTATCTATTTACTGTTATCTACTATTTTATTTCAAACTTCCATTGTTCCAGTTAATTCAGCAAATTAGTAAGGGGTGATGTAAAAGTCTTCTTTGTATGACTTGGTCATTACTTCTCTATAGTTGCTTTTGACACTCTTATTCCAACTTTTGCCAAGTCTTTTACTTATATGTGGTTAAATCTACAAACCTATAAAGCAAATAACAATGCCTAATTTTAAAATGATTCAAGCTGAACAAATTATGTCACAGATTTATACTACCATATACTATGAAGCGCGTTTCATAAGTAAGTCTCGGTTTTACTGCAGCAACAAACACAGATGGAAAACTTAAATGTACATATGCAGAATGTTTATGTGGTCCATTAGCTAGCTAAATGCTATTGTTTAACTGTGGAAATCTTGTTTGATGCTGCGTGTGAGTGATTTATAATGAGTGCAAAAATAAATACTCCTGCCAGCTGCAAGGTTCATGCTGTATTTCACTTTATGTTAGAAAAAAAATTAAAAAAACAAAACACACAAGTGCTGCAGAAATTCTCATGCAACTTATTGAGGTTTATGGGCCAGATGTTATGACTGATAGTATGATTAGGAAATGGTGTTGAATGTTTAAAGAATGGGGAACAAATATCCATGATGAAGATCCTAGATGTCAGCCATTGTGTGATGACAGATCATTTGACCAAAGCAATGAACCAAACAATTCAGGAAAATTGTGATTACACGATTTTTGTGTTGTCTGTCAAATTTTTGGAAGTTTCATGTTCACCAAGAAACCTTCGCAGTAAAAAATTATGTGCCAGATGGGCATCAAAAATGTTTAACAGCAAACAGGAATCACTGGCTTGGGCTCAAAAATCTTTGCAGCGCTATTAAAATAAAGAAGATGAATTTTTGGGCACTCTGCTACTGGAGATGAGACCTGGATTTCCTACACAAACATGGAATCAAACAGTTGATGTAATGGTGACACTAATGGCTAATGGTCCCTGAAAGCAAAGAAGTTTAAGCAAGCACCTTCTGTCAAAAAGACCATGGTTACTGTTTTCTGGGACAAAAAAGGGGTCTTGTTTACTGATTTTCTTCAACTGGAAATTGTTGACCCCCCACCCTATAGCCCAAATCTGGCCACGAGTGATTATCACCTTTTCATGCACATAAAGAAGTGGCTGGCATCCCAGCGGTTTTAAATGGATGATGAACTGCAGACAGGCATTAATGAATGGTTCAAGACACTGGCGGCAGACTTCTATGACACTGGAATTAAGAACCTGGTGCCACGATACCAAAAATGTGTTGATGTCGATGGTGACTGTGCTGAGAAATGTAAAGGTATGGTTCACTTTTAGCTGCAATAAATCATTTTTATATATGACGGGGTTTTTTTTTTTTTTTTTTTTATAAAATACCAGGACTTACTTAAAAAACAAGCCTAGTATTTACCGACTGAACCATTTCTGTGCCAGATTCCTCTGTCCCCAGTGTATTTTTACTCCTCCTTACTTAAATTGGTATTACCTGTCACAAATGCATAGGACAGAACTATCTGTATTTGGTGCAAACTGCAGTGAGATGTTTATAGAACACACTGTTAACGACTTGCATTCATTAATAACTGATTAAATAAAAACACACAAATAAAGTACAACTATGATACAACTATACTGTCAGTCTCAACATGGATTTGTTAGCGGGAACTCTGCTTAGTCATCACCAGTTCCCTGACATTGTTCTTGAACTCCTCAATGTTCCTTTGTAGATATTCTTTAGATGCCTGTGAATACACAAACATAAAAAAACACTTTTCCTTTAGAAGTGACTATACAGGAAATAAATAATGTTTTCCGGAAGTCTAAGAAAAAACTGGCAGTTGCATTTGACTGTTGTTGATTTATACTTCAGTAAAAAGGATTTTACTTTTTCATTTATGTAATTGTTACTGTGGTATGCACCTACAAGATATAGCGAAATACACCATGCAATAAATTTTGCTATTTATTGTTTGTGTCTTCTTTATTTAAAATATTTAGACTCAAATGCAAAAGAAAATCTTGATGGGTGTGAAATATTATTGCAGAACATCAGAAATTAAGAGGCTAAGAAGCCTGGATATTCCTAACAACTGCAGAAATCAACCTGTACAACTGCAGAGGTCAGTGGGTGACAAAATAATGGAGAATATTTACTGCATTTATACGATAATAAAAATATTACTAAATTTGCTAATGTGTTCACAATAAAACAAGCTGTTGCTATAGAGCTAAGGCCAAAGCAGAATTCCACAAGATGAAGAACACCAAACATCACTCGTCTCTTTTCATGAAAGCAAGCAAGAGAGTTATTTAGAGTTTACAGTAATGATCAGGTAATCAAGTTCTAACTACACAGCAAACAAGAAATCCCATAGTTTTTGTGTTTCTGTGTCAACAAAATCCAGAGAAAATGTCCATCACTGTCCATTCTGGGAAAAACAGACACTAAATGCATCTATTGGAAGTGCTAACACAAAGAGACACCACCAAGTAATCTCTGACAGAAGACTTTACTGAATAAAACCACAAGCCATGCTAGGCAGTTGAAAGGCATTCCAAATGAAATTTGCAGCTCACAGTATCACATCATGCATGCAACTCAGTAGCCGGGCAATGGAACTATTTGACTAACTACGGTCATAAGCAAAAACTTGCCACAACTAACAACAGTAAACCTGCCTATCTACCTGAAAAAATGTATTACTGTAATATGCGGAAGTGAACTGTGGATATTTAACAAATTGAGGAAGAGAAATGGTAGTTTGTATCAGACAATGTACATCATTTGGACACATCAAGTAAAGAGGTAAACTGGGGAAAGGGGTCCATGACAATAAGCAAACTGAGGAGAGAGGGAGTGCAGAAAGGAAGAAAAATATTGCAGACAGCAACAAAAATATTTTTAAAAATGACTGCAATGAGCGAGGCAGGTGGCTGTGAACAAAAAATAATGACCAACAACGAGTGGGATAGGCTATAAGATAATATAACACATCAGAAAACTTGAGATTGATTTCATGGCAAATGTATAACAACAGATAAGCATCTAAGCAATGAGCGAGGCAGGTGGCTGTGAACAAAAAATAATGACCAACAACGGGTGGGATAGGCTATAAGATAATATTACACATCAGAAAACTTGAGATTGATTTCATGGCAAATGTATAACAACAGATAAGCAACCACCAAAATGTATGAGTACATTATTCTCACAATAATGAATCGCAATGTCAAGTTACCTCAGTCGTATTCTAAAAAGAAAAATAACTACAAACCTCCAAGGATTTGATTTTCTCAGCGAATGACTGCTGCTTGCTTTTCAGGCTTTCTATCAGCTGGTTCTGCTTTTGCAGCAAAAACCTAGGAGACAATATTTTTTTAAATTAAAGTTTAGCTAAGTTGAGAACTGACATGGCACTCGGGACATTTCCACAAGTGTTCTGTTCCTATCTTCAGCAGCAATCGTGGTACCAATAATGTTATACAAAGTGACAGTTTTGCCCTTTATCACCTAATAGAGCAATGGCCTTCAATCAACTCATGCCAGGTCATCCTATCATCTGCTTATACCCTCCCTTTTTTTCATCTTAATGCCTAGTTCTCTCTTTTTTTTTTGTCTGTCAGCCCTTTTTCTTTTTACCAAAACACTAACTACACATATTTATTATACAGTGGGAGAAGGTGGTGTTGTGCAGGAGGTTTTGGTAGTGTAAGTTACAGAATGTGCTCCCAACAAAAGAAAAAGCCTCCCACTAATTGATCACCCAGTGATATGGAAAACAGCAACAACAAAAAAAGACAAAAGTGGCAAAAATGTAAGACAAAAAAAAAAAAACAACATAAAGACACTTGTAGGCAGATAAAGCCTGCTGTCTTAGCAAGAATTTATGTAGCTGCATAAAGAGACAAATGTAAACTTGATTTACACACCGATTTATAAATCAGACAGGTGTCTGACTAGATGTGACACATTTTCTCAAAAGAGGAATAAATAAGATAGCAGAAGATGTAAACTTACTCTTTAGTACCAAAATGAAGCAGTGGACAAATAAACAGCTGACCATCAAAATAAATGCTTGAAGATCTTTTTTCTAAATAGCAACTTTGGAATTTCCATTAAACAAAATAATAGAAAAGATAGAGTTTCACTGTTCCACCTGCATGCTGGTCTTGACTGTGATACAGGTCTGGGAAATTATTACAGCTCACATATAGTCTAGTTTACTCTAAATAAATGTAACACCTCCAGAGCTTTAGGAAAACTGTGTAGCCAAAGGAAGAGATCTTTTGAGTATGACTGAGAAGCGACACTCTTCAATGTGTGTTTTTTTTTCCCAATCTGTTAAACAGAATTAACATTTACAAACTGCCCAGTTTGTGTGTTGTATGTTAACTGTATTTATTACTTGTACATGCCCGTCTCTCTAGCGTAGTTGGCTAAACCGGATTGCGCGGTGAGCGGGTGACGCACTCCTTGTGGTCCAGGTTCACTCCCGGGGGTGGGCAGAAAAGCCACATTTCTCCCAGATTTACGGTATTTAAAATGGAATCAAGGCCCAAAGGTTGCGATATCCATAATACCGAGCCTAAGGGTTAACAACTCATGGCTTCTGGATACTAAAACAAACAAACATTACTTGTACATATCTCCATATATAAAGAACATGAATGAGGCATCTTATGGCTGATCTGATACTGTTATAGGCTCACAGTGATACAGCAATATAATGAGAAGATAAGCCTCTTCCCTTACCTGGGAACCACTAATGTTTGCCTGAAATATTAGAGCTGAACTTGGCTGTAAGATAGTCCCTCCTCAATGGGGATTATGAGTCAAAAGCCAGTGCACAATCCCAATACAGACACATTTACAGATATATAAGAAATTAATTTAATACGTTATATTTGTAAGAAACATCCAATCTATCATAACAGAATAATTTTTTTCACACATATTATAAGATGCATAAGAAACCTATAGAACTTACATTCTACCAACTGCCTTGTAAACCTTTGTTTCTGAGGGCAGGCTTGCAACTTCATGTTCAACAAGTGCAGTATGCTGGATTTTTCTATTGAGACTTTCAATCTGAACATTGGAAAGGCGGATCTGACTTTCTGCTTGAATCTTTTTCATGGACAGCTCAGCAAATGCCTTCAATGGAAAAATTGGGGATAGATTTTAATGGGAACAATACCTTAACACAATGTTCAATTTAACCAACCATATAAAACCTTTTTTGAATTAGCATGTAAATGGAGATCTGTGGAAAAAGATGGTAAAACCACCTGCCTTGCGTTCTGAAGTTCATGGGTTTATTTCATGAATTTCATGGCTACATGGTTTAGTTCACAAGCGCAATTTTTACCAAGATCCCAGGAGGTCGTCACTAGAGCTATAGAGTTTATGCTTTGGGCAGGTGCTTAGCTGTTCTGTGGAGACAGAATTAGCCATACATCATACATATGGTAAGATTCACAAGGAAAAGATTTCAGCAATTGTTGCAAAACAAGATTTTAGTGACCACGTTGTTCTACTTAATATCTGTGATCTAAGATGTGTGCTACAGACGGATATTCAACCCCTTTCCATTTTATTATTATTAAATCATTACATGCTAGTAATTTTGTTGCAGGAAGTAAAAATTTAATTTCTACAAAGAATTTAAATATTGATTTATGATCTTATTTTATAATATGATTTGGTTTAAAATATTTTAAAGATCGTGTTTCCACAGATCTATGTTATGCCATTTCTGCTTATCATAGTCACACTTTCAGAAGTTTTGTGGCTATTTAGTATTTAGCAATTTACTTGAAATGATTACTTCAGTGTTTGAGGTATTTGATTTATGTTTTTGAAATCCACAACCACTGCAGCATTTTTCAGGCATCTTACCTTTTTCGATTACCAGCACTGTCAGTTTGATTTTTTTTTTACATGACAACGCAAAATCTGGATATGAATTTCAACTATCACTGTCGCCATGTTTGAGATAGTAATTTAGTAATTATGTTAAAAGTATCCAGTATCACATCACAGCATGAAGTCACTATGAAGTATCGGCTCTTCTTTCAATACCGGATGCGGGCTGGACGGCTTAGTTCGGTGTAGTAGGAGTTCTCTCCCCAGGGTTCATAGCCAAATTTACCAATCAATTTCAAGGCTTTTCAAGGTCTTTTTCAAGGTCTCCTTAGTTTTTTTCAAGGTTGTCTCGGTGTAATACTGAAACAAGATTTTTGCCTTGTTCAAGGGTGTACTGAGCACACAAGGTACTTTATTTGTGCCACATGTGTTGGTATACCAGCACAGATATCATCATCATGTAGCATTTCCTTTGTCCTGACAAAAAAACATCGGTCTCTCACCAGCTCTCCCGCCTCATGTACTTTTTTATACTCAAGGAGTCATTTATATCCTGTGCCCATCTTCGTGTTGGTCGGCCCCTGAGCTTGATATAGTGTTTGAAATTTTTTTTTAGGGCTTGGTGGTAGAGGGCAGCAAACTGAAGTCCTGTCTGTTCTGGACCTGGTACCTGAGAGGGTTAGGGTAGAGAGAGAGAGTCATGAAGAGAGAGGAAGACACATGCTGAGGTAGGCTGGGAGAGACAGTGTAAAGATGGACAGATGAAGGTAGAGAAAAGAAGGAAAAGAAGTCTGGGGAAGGGGGGAAAAATGAGAGGGAGGGATGGAGACATGATGAGGAAAAGTGGGGAAGGGACAGCAAAAGACAGAGAGGGAGACAAATACAGAAAGAGGGAATGCAGATACAGAGATGGGCAGATGAAAAGAGAAGGAAAAAGGGAACTAAACAGAGATATGGAAGGAGGAAAATATGACAAAGAGTTGAAAGAAGGGAGACAGAGGGAGAGAGAAGGGACAGGGTGAGAAGCAGATGCAAGCAGAGAGAGATGTAGACATAAAGGATAGAGAGACAAAGGGACAGCACAGAGAGGCAAGCAGACAGAGGGAGAGAACCAAAGAAAGAGAAAAAAGGCAGAGCAGGAGAATGGGAGGGAGGTATACAAAGAGGAAGTGATGAAGGGAGGCAAACAGACATAAAGCAAGAGAGAGAGAGAGAGAGAGGTGGGTAAGGAAGGCAGTGACAAACAGATTAAGAGAGAGGGGCAGGAAGGGAGACAAGATACATCAAAGAAAAAAAAACAGCCACCTACTCCCCCCCCCCCCCACACAATTTCAAGTGTAGTGGACACAACCACTAGGAAAAGATAGTTATGGGGCAAAAAAATACGTAGATGAACCAGTTAAAAAATGGGGGGGGGGGGGGGAGAGAATGAGAGAGGGGAGCGGGTAAGGAAATCTAGAGAAAATGAAAAGACAGGATGGAGAGGAGACAAAGAAGAGATGGGACAGGAGAAGGGGCAAGGAAAGGAAGAGAGGAAGAATGGAGAGAGAAAGGAGAACAGTAGAAGATCAAAGGAAAGAGAAGGGGTGAGAGAAGAAAGGTAAGACACGGTTGTGGGGGTGGGGGTGTAAGAACAATGAGTGCCAAAAATAGAATTAGGAAATCTCTAAGTGAGGCCACTTTTCCGGTTCCTACCCTCTCCCAATGTGAATGCGGCGGGCCTTGGTCCAAAAACAACAGTGCTAACCCCTACTGCCCCTTGCTTGCCCTATCTGTGTGTGACAACAATAATTCAATTTCTTACACTTAAGGCTGGTGACCTGAGAGCCAAGGTCATTTTATGAAGAAAAAAAAGTCCAGGGGATCCCAACCCACCACTGGTGGAAAATAGAGAAGTTTACCCACACACATAAATAGGTCAGACACATAAATAGGTCAGGGCAGCAGTGGACTTCGTTTTATTTCTGGTTTTCCAATTACAGAAAGGAGGGGAGAGAGGAGGTGGTGGAAAGTGGTGTAGAAGGCTGAGGTGGTAAGGGTGAGACAGAGGAGGTGAGAGAATAAAGTTTAAGAGAATAAAGTGGGAATGAGACAGGGAGAGAAAGAAGGGAGTAAGAAATAAGATGAGATATAGAGGGAAGAAGGTAGCAGGAAGGGGTGCACTCCCTCCCCTAGGTGTCATCAATGTGGGAGGAGAAAGGGGGGGGGGGGGAGGCGACGGCAAATGTGTTTTTAAAAGTACACATATTTTTAATGTGTGTGTGAGGGAGGGGGAGCTGTTGAACATGAAATGTTCTGCACTAGGCAACACATAACCTTCTACACCAACTGAAGGTATGGAGAAAGAAAGAGAGAGAGAGAGAGAGAGAGAGAGAGAGGGGGAGGAAGTGAGGGAGAGTGGCAAATACAAAGAGAAAGAGAGAGAGGAAAGCAGTGACACAGACAGGCAGAGAGTGAGGAACAGGTAGGACAAAATGTGAGGGGGCGGGAAGGGAGATGGACAGAGATTAAGGCCGCTAGGAAAACAAACACATCAAAAGAAAATATCCACCATGTTCCCACAGAATGCACCCCCCCCCCCCCCCCCCATACAACTTCCTGTGTACTTGAGTTGCTAGGAAGAGTTATGGAGCCATACATTTACTAAACATTTAAACAAGAAATAAAATAGGAAAAAGGGGGAGGGGGGACAGGAAATGAGAGAGTAAAAGGAAAGATAGAGAGAAAGAGAAGAAGAAGAAGATCAGAAGGGAGGGTTAGAGACAATGCAGGAGACGGAATCTCGGGGAATTACAATACTGATTGCCAAACACACTGTAAAGATAAATCCAGGCCAAAAATAGAACTGGGAAATCCAGCTGCAGTCACTTTGCTTAGCCCCAATGCCATCTCTAATTAATAGAGAAGGCCATGCTTAGCCCCCACCACGGCGACTCTATTTATAAATACAACTGAACTGAGCCCCACCATCTCCCAATGTAATCCTTTCTAGAAACCACGGCCATAAACGATTTATACTGTTCATTCTGCCCGACTTGCTAGAAACAAAGGCACACACACACACAAGACGGAATCTGCCCCTTGCCACACCGCTGCTGTCTGCATGTATTCATGATCTGCAACACAGCCCGCCCTCCCCTGGCCTTTAACAAGCCATTTCGGCTGAAAATAGCCAATAATCAGCTGCCCTCACACCTGAAACGACCATACAAAGAAAAGTAGCCAAAAACTAGCCAAATGGCCAAAAAAGCCAAATGGCTCCCCCAACATTGCCTGTGCTGAAAAACACAGGATTTCTGACGATTTCATTGCCTCGGTCAAAATTCACGGCTTTTCAAGGTCGGAATGTCTTTTATAAGCTAAAAATCCCGGTTCAAGGTCAACGAAAAAAATCCCGGTAATTTCCCGATTTCCCGGTCCACTACGAACCCTGTCTCCCTTGGCCGCACTACAAACAGTGAGCGGAAAAGTCATGAAACAAATGACATACTTACCTATCATCATACGGTTGCGTGTAGCGTTGCGTAGTCATCAAACGGTTGCGTAGTCATCATACAGTTGCGTGAAGGGTTGCGTAGTCATCATACGGTTGCGTGAAGGGTTGTGTAGTCATCATACTGTTGCGTGTAGGGTTGCCTATCATCATACGGTTGCATAGCATAGGGTTTGGGTTAGGGGTTAGGGTTAGATGTGAAAATTTTGAAGTAGGAGTTCCAAATACTGGCCGACAATCTGATGCTTGTGGGAGTGGGGCCACTGAAATTCTGCCAAATATGACGCCAAAGGCGCGCGGCTGGTGCCCAATCGTTGGCGATTTGTCCGACTAGCATCCACAGGCCTTCGATTGTTTGGGTGTGTTTATGACTGCGCGACGTCGACGAAGTTGGTCTAGTGAACTACTACCTCGTGCAGATAGATGACATGCCTTAAGTTTGCGACGTTGCTGTAGCCTCGCCAAGCGTCAATTTTCACATCTACCTCTACCCTTAACCCTAACCCTACACAACCCTACACGCAACCGTATGATGATAGACACCCTACGCAACCGTACGATGATAGGTAACCCTACACGCAACCGCATGATGACTACGCAACCCTTTACGCAACTGAATGATGACTACGCAACCCTACACGCAACCGCATGATGATAGCTACGTATGTCATTTGATTCGTGGACTTTTCCGCTCACTGTTTGCAGTGCGGCCACGGGAGAGAACTACCACTAAACTGAACTAAGCCGTCCAGCCCGCGTCAGGTATTGAAAGAAGAGCCAAAGTATCTATTATTAATATCCCTTCTCCTACATCAGATATGGACTAGTGGACGTGCTGTCCCTCAATCTTATAGTTGCCTATAATGTTTAAAGAACATAAATGAAAATATAAAGCCACTAAACTAAAGCAATGCAAACTTTCTACAAATTATTATAAGCATTCATAAGCCTTCATTCGTTGCGCTGCCATTTTTCCCCCCACTGACACCACTTACTAGCTGGGAAACAATTTATTTACTGTTGTTACAATTTCCAAGCTTTCTGCACCCCTCCCTCGTCTGGGGAGTGCACCCAGCTATACTTTTCATGAGGCTCTAAAATGCATCTGTAACACATATAAGACGTAATAAACAGTAAAAAGTAAAGCTGTGTTTACGTTTGCTAAATCAGGATCCACAGCATGACCGGTAGCCGCCATCTTGTCGCTAATGGTTAAACATCAATGTGCCAGGTACTCTGTTCATAAGCTGCCGAAATTAGACCTTAATTGCATCCACAGGAGGTGTCGATGATTGTATCGGTGTAACCGATATGCCTCTACCTGAACTACAGGACTATTTATTTTGTTCTCCTCCTTCCATCCTAGCAGCCGAGGCACTTACAGTATTTCTCCTTCGTCGGTGCCTTTTCTGGATCTCACTGTCACCTCTAAAGTCCTCAGCGCCTAGCTGTATTATAAGCCTGCTGATTCCCATGCTTTTCTTCTCTACACGTCCTATTATCCCTCTTCCTTCAAGGACTCAATTCCTTTCTCTCAGCTTCTACGCATCCGCAGACTATGATAGGAGAACGACGACTTCCACTACAAAGCCCTAGAAATGCTGGACTTCTCCTGGCTTTAAGAGTATCTTGAACTCCTCTGGCTTCAATAATATATTGAACATGTCTTATTTGCTGCCTTTCACCGAGCATGGTCTTTTCATCGCCCTGAGGCTCTCGTTCCCAAGCCTAAACGTCACCACAACAGACCTATCCTCATACTCATACTTACCTACAACCCTCACAACATCCGTGCCAAAAATATTCTTCTCATGCATCTTTACATCCTTACACCGCCTGGCTCTCTAGCGTGGTTGGCTAAACCGGACTGCGCGGTGACCGGGTGTGGAACTCCTTGTGGTCCGGGTTCACGCAGTAGGCAGAAAAGCCACATTTCTCTCAGATTTACGGTATTTATCACGGAATCAAGGCCGAAGGGTTGCGAAATCCACAACTCATGGCTTCTGGATACTAAAAAAAATCCATAAGCAGGATTTTCCCTGAACTTCCTTTAGTGGCCTACAGACATGACCGCAACCTCAAGGAAATTATAGTCAAGAGTCGGTTACGTCCTGCATCTGTGTCCCACTTCGACACCGTTTCTTGCCACAGACCTGTATGCAGGACTTGTTCTTTTTGTGGTCCAGGGACCAGTCTGGAATTCCCGAATGCAATCTTCCACTTATGTGAAGCATTCTATTGCACGAGCCGCATGGTAATTTACACCATCAACTGCAAGAGATATGTGGCATGAAATACACCGGTAAACGGGTCTACTACTGGCTGACAGGTTCAGACATCTTTTGGATGTACAGAACGGTGCCCTGAAACCAGTACCGTTGCATTTTCGTTCCCAGGATCACCAAGGTGTCCACCACATGGGGGTGAGAGCCAATAAATCTAGCTACTCCAGCGACAGAATGCGCAAGTATCTTGAAAATGTCTGTATTTACACTTAGGGGGCTTTAAATTCCAGGGGATTGAATCGTCAACACTGTTTCATATAAAATTCTCCACCTACGATCCATAGCATTCTACGAGTATTTATTTTCCGATTTAGTGTGTTCTTTCCATTGCACTGGCAGGACATCCATGTGGCTGCACCTGGATACATGAGTTGAGTGATTTTGTGTATTCATGAGGTTTTGTTTTATTTATGTATGTGCTACGTCGGCTCTGCAGCTGCAACGTTTACGTTTTGTAAGTGTTTGTTAGATTGTAAAGCTCGCTGATATACTTTTCGTTCGGTTTTATAAACTAACATGTCAGTTTGGATATTCACGAACCGTCGGGCAAGTAGCAAAACGTGGAAATAATCATGCAAGTGAGCGGTGACAACGTGAGAACGGTTAAAAGATAAACGAATACAGGATACCCCCACAATACAGGACAGGCTGTGGTTAGGAACTCTCGCCGTGCGGTCGAGTTCGTGATAATTACCTATTAGTATATCTTTGGCTCATGTTCATTATTCTGTGGTTCCTGTCCACGTGGACAAAGTTTCTAATACTGAATTTATTGAACATACATGGTTGTGGAGTCTTCCGTGTTCAGTTCAATCTACCCACAATGGTCTGTTTCTTTCGGGTGAGGAGGTTAACATGGTCTATGGAATTATTTATTTTTTTTTTTTTTTCAATTGCTTCTAACGTCTGTTTCGATCTGGGTTTTATTTTTCTCATAAGTACATTGGAGGAGACTGAGACCTTGAGACAAAGACAACAGTGGTACACCGTTGCAAACGTTCAATGGGGAGAAAGGTTAGGTAATTTTTTTAGTGCTTCCCACATCTGGCTGTCGCGAACTGCTCCACATGTTTGCTGAGTATTCTGTACAGTGGAGCCTAGCTGATCGAGCATAATTCGTTCCAGAATCATACTCGTTAAGCGAATCACTCGTTATGCGAAACAATTTTTCGCATACAAAATAATGTAAAATACGATAATGTGTTCCATGTCCCAAAAAAATACTCACAAAATGCTAAGTATAACGTTTATTCAAAGAAAATTTTATACACATTGAGAAGGAGAGTGAATCATCTTCATCTTTTCTTCAAACGCGGAGCAACCCATCTGGAATGCGAAATCGATTTGCAGAAAAAAAAGTCGAAATAATTATGATACATGGCTTATTATGTTTTTTTTTTTTTACTTGAAAGATGTCCAGAGACATTTGTTTTTGCCGAGGCTTCAAAATTTGGCGAAAATGCAACACAGCATTATCATTAAATAAATTTGCAACGCGCATAGCCACTTCCTTAATGGGGTGATGCTTCTCAATGTAAGATGCTTATTTCGCCAAAAAATTGTTGCTTTTCTGTTACCTCCTCCTTCTCCTCCTCTGACAAACTTTCATTTAAAACTTCTTTCTGTGAAACACAATACAACTCCATAAGCTCTTGGGGAGTCCGCTCTTGGCTTGCTCTTCCACAAGCTCTTCGATATCACTGTTATCCACCTCCAATCCCATGGTAGTGGCCAAAGACACAATCTCGTTGACTACAGGTTCCACAGGTACTGTCTCGAACCCCTCAAGGTCACATTCGACAACGCTCTCCGGCCAAAGCTTTTTCTAAGCAGAAGTTAGTGTTCTCTTGGTAATCAATTCCCACGCCTTGCCGATCATCTCGAGGCAGGCAGTCACCTGAATACAATGCTCGAAGAGTGCTCTAGTGTGGATCTTCTTAAAGTTAGAAATAAATTACTGGTCCTTAGGCTGGAGTAACGGAGTGGTGTTGGGAGGCAGAAACTGGATCTTGATGAACTTAAATTCCTCAATGAGGTCATCTTGTAGGCCTGGAAGATGGGCAGGAGCGTTATATAAAGCAAGACATGGAGTGGCAGATTTATCTCAGACAAATATTTTTTTTTCACAGAAGGACCAAACACTTCCTTGATCCACTCAGTAAAAGGGTCACGTGTCACCCAAGCCTTCTTGTTGGACCTCCATATAACATTTAGCCTGCTCTTTTGGATTTTGCATTTACTGAAGGCTCGGGGAGTTCCTGAGTGGTAAACAAGCAGCGGTTTAATTTTCTAATCGCTGCTTGCATTGGCACAAAATAGCAACGTGAGACGGTCTTTGACTTGTGGCCGGGCAATGCATTCTCCTCTGTTATATACGTTCGCTTCGGCATCTTTTTCCAGAAGAGACCTGTTTCACCACAATTAGAAACCTGTTGCGGCAAGTAACCTTCAGAATTTACGAGCTTCTTGAAATCGCCAATGAAGTTCTCTGCTGCTTTTGTGTCGGAACTTGCTGCCTCACAACGCTGTAGATGCTGGTTCTCCTCTTGAACTTCTCGAACCACCCACTGTTTCCCTTAAATACTTCTTCGGCCGTTGATGATCCTAGCGTCTTCTTAACGAGGTCGGTGAAAATCATTTTCGCCTTCTCACAAGTCATGTTTTCGTTAATAATGTCACCTTTTAATTTATCCAAATGAGAAGCAACCTTTCAACATCATAGAGAATACTAACCGTTGCGCAGATATTCTTGTCACTCACTGTGAAGCATCTATCTCCTTAATCTTGTCCTTGTTCTTAAGGATAGTGCAAATCTTTGATATAAACCGATTGTATGTGCGTGCTAGATCAGCCACGCTTACACCTCGTTCGTGCTTTTTAATGATTTTGTTTCCTTTCTATGGTTATTTTTACTCTTTAATGGCTGTTTTCTCGCGGCTTTTTCTTCGGGGACATTTTTGTAAGGTTTATTTAAACTTTTCACACACACAAAATTACAAATCTATTTCCTAATTATCTTCTTAACAATTAATTCAATATACCTCTATCCTCGCCACTCGTTATGCGAAACGTCGCTCGTTAAGCGAGTTATTCTTTTACAATTTGTTTTGCTCCGTTATGCGAATTACTCGTTATGAGAGGTGCTCGTTAAGCGAGGATCTACTGTACTTCAATTTCCCGCAATGTTGCCGTAGTCTGGGATCCACTGAAGAAAAGTCGGTATGGCCTGAGAACCTATTTGATTCAGTAGAAATGTAATCTTGCCAAACGAAGTGTAGTTGCTTTCGTTTTGTTTTGCTTGCAATAATGAGCCAGCAACTGTCAGTATAACAACTTCTGACTCTGAGCTCTTGGTTGCATTCACCAATTAATATGAATACTGCTTCCTCTAGGCCCATTGCCTCCCCTTTGAATTTGGAGGAGTGTTTTCCTGTAGGAAGATTGCCCTCTTTTATGACATCACTGGTCCATTCAATCTAGAACTTCCTTTGCAGAGCCATCCCTGAATGCTCATATCCGTCTGTAGTTGCGATTATTGTTTTCGTCTTTTAATATCTAAATGGAGACTTCATTTCAAAGGGAATCTGTTCTCTTTTGGTCAGTATGTTGTATATCAGGGTTATTCAATTGTCTCAAGGGCCAAAATGTTGAAAATAGGCGTTCGTCATAAATAACTTCATTTTGGGGTCAGGAAGTGGAAGCTCGTACTTCATGTGTTATACCTTAGCTACTGGATTCAGTTATGTATTTCTTAATGACAGATATTTTATTTAAGAATTCTTTATGCATGGAGTTTTTTTCTTCTTTTTTCTAGTGCAGCAGATTCGGAATATCAGGTGAGCATCTCTACATTTTAACCGACTTTGTGGATGGATTGCAAGCCTGGGTTTGGTAAACAAGTTGTTCCTATTGC